ATTTGTAAATTTCGTACCCAATTTTTCTTGAAAAAAAACGGTATTTATTTAGTACAAATGAAGCATTTAATACATCTTACCGGTAAAAAGAAGAGTTTCTTCTTGATAAAGAATTGTGGCATCATGAAGCCATGCAAAAACTCGGCAGTTTTTCTTAAGGTTTTTTTCAGCAGAGTTTCAGCTTTTTGTGCAAAAACCAGGGGGGTGAAATTGTCCTCTGAAGCCGAGGATCGCGGTTGGCCAGTGGTAATTACCGCGAGGATTTGGGACCAGTGGCGTCATTCTGGCGTCAGCAAACGTGAAAATCCGCCATGTTTTTGGCTTCACTTGCTTGACTGAAGAGAGATAGGAGCACTTCCTCCAGATATATTATAGCTCAGTGGTTGGCCGCCATTTTGGCAGTAAGTATAATCCACGCCATGAAACGTGAGGAATCACGCATTTTGGCAGTAAGCGCCATTTTGGCAGTAAGTGTCGCATGCGTCATCTCGCGTGATAGCCTCGCGAAAATCGCGGACACGAAAATCATAGGGATAGATACACAGTGATTCATCTGGTATAATCTATTATCTGTGATATGGCTGAAATAAATGCCGCACGCTGATTGGTTGATTACCGGTCTGGAAAAAGTCATCTTGCTCCCTCAGAAATTCATCTTGCCCGTTGGTGAAATTGTAAAAACACTGTCCAAAAATTTTCTAAAAGCTAGTAAATTTTATTTTTTGCCGTATAGTGACGACGAGGAACACTCATGACCGAGTGAATTTTATTATCCTGATGAAATCTCGGATGAAACAAATGACCCAAACGGTAGGCTTGAAGGCGAAAACGATTTTAGCAGCGAAAAGGTTTTCTGTTTTTTTCTACAAAGTCAGAACGAACTGCGATCCAACAAAGCCATATAATAAATCCCTTATTAACCTCGTTTGCTCGGTCTGAACGAGAAAGTATTGCCTGCGGTTTTTATCTCATAGACCTCGCTCCTTCGTCGCTCTGTCTGTACGCCGAAAATCCTCAGGCAATACTTTCCCGTACAGACCTCGCAATCGGTTAATAAGTCCTTATTATAGACTTAGAATTAACTTTTTGAGGTTGATTTTCCTCCATAAAATGTTTGTACACTGTTTGTTTCACCAAGAATTTTACATGTTTTCTTTCAGTTTCACTCCTTCGACGTCCATTTTGAATACGAGTTAACCGGCCGATTAGCAAGTTAACCCACCTAGTGAGGAGGATTAAATTTAACCCTTGGTTTAACCGAGGATTAAGGATAACCTAGCTTTGAACAACGCAAAGTAACCTACAATCGCGTGCAAAAATAATGAGACTTTTCACATGCCCCCCTGCCCCCATTATGAATGTTGGAAAAAGTGGGTTGAATTTTCTCTTTTCAGTCATCCACACAACATTGAATTGGGGGTGAGGGGGGGCACTTATGCGGTTGTCTCAATAATTTTTGCTCCTGATTGTAGGGTTAAAATTTAACCCTAGGTTAAGCAAATTTAACCCTAGGTTAGCGTTAATCGGCTTTTGAACAACCGCCCCCTGGTGTTTAGAAGAGAGATCAGTGCATGATCTGATTCTTTCATTCAAGTATAGAATTGGTCAACTTCAGTTGACTTCAGTCAGTTGTTTACACCTGTACATGTTGGCTGTCCAGATCCGAAGAATAACTACACGTGCGTTTGACATATATATTGCCAACTACCGTCACGATCAAAACTATTATCGGAAATCATATTTTCGCAGATCCATTGAACTATGGAATAAATTACCACCTAGCTTAAAACGTATACATTTTCTAAGTCAGTTTAGAAATCAATTGACAAATAACTACAATTCGGAAAATTTAACATCCTATGAACCTCCTTAATATTAAGAGGAGATTTTTCTGTATGTCACGTAACACGCGCTCAAAACTAATGCGTATAGTATACCACTTAAGGTTATGACTAAATTCAAAATTTTTGTTTTTCGATTCGTTTCTCAATCGGCAAACAAACTTAAAAAGTATGTTTAGCGCTTTATGTGTAAAATAATGCTAAAATGAAAAGATTTTAGATGGTACGCCAAAGAGAAAACGATGTCTGAAGTTCAGTAAGTTTTGCTTATATGGCTGTGAATATGGCATCAAGTTTAAATCACTTAGATTCTGCACTTCACTTGGTGGAATTAATATTAGGATGTTAGGGTTTGTAATCCAAGTGAGAATATATACATTTTAAGATCTAACCAGGAACGACCGCGAAAAATGCAGCACAAGGTCCTCTTGTAGGAATTGAACCTACGGCCCTGCGATTCCGGTGCAGCGCTCTAACCAACTGAGCTACAGAGGCCAGCTGTTGAGCTGTAACCGTAAGTTCATGTATATATAGGTAATCGGGTGTGCGGGTTGTGATAAGGTGGACTTGAATAACTTAGATTATTCACGTCCCTATAACTTGTCACACAAATATAAACACTTTAATTTATAGTAGCTTCCATAACAAATCTGGTGCGTCAATCAGTTCTTAAATGTTAGTGTATTAATTATAATACCATTTCCAAGATATTCATTTTTCGCAATATAGTTTGCAGCCAAAAAAGGTATATTGACAGGAGGCGTTGTTTCTTCAAAGTTTTCTTCGTTTTTGTGTTCCAGTGTTTTGATGACACAATGGCTGGACGTGATGAAGTTTTGCATTCAATTTGAAAACAATTACGTTATATACTTGTGGAGTATATAGTATCTTTCAAAGATAAACATGTAGACATTCCATGTTGATACTTCCAATTTAACATTGTTCTCTAAACGTATATCAGACGCTTTTATGAATATTGCTTTTTTGAATTTTTTCTTTCACGTGACGTAGACCATGGAAAATGTCAACCTTGATACATGAATGTTTAATTTGTTGCACACGTCCGTACCACAGGGTCGATCGACGGTCTATTTTAATGGTTAAATCTGATAGAGAAGCAACTGCAAAAAATGTTAAATTCCTTATTTCCACAGTACACTACAGTACAGTACAGTACAGTGCAGTGCAGCACACCACACCACACCACACCACACCACACCACACCACACCACAGTACAGTACAGTACAGTACAAAAAACATTCACAAGTAAATAATACATCAGAAATTAATTCATAAAAAAATGTCTTTGATGTTTTAAAATATATTACAGAAACGTCAGCTAGTTTTAATTAAAGAACCAAATGAAAGTCATTCCCGCCACATCCCTGAACCACACGTGACAACAATATAGTCAAGGGAATGCAACTTTTCACTTCTTGTAGTTAAGGTGTATTCATTTTATAGTTATTGCAATTTTAGGATATAAAATATAAATTCATTAAATAGAATATAAAATTCTCTCATTCCCTGTTCATCGAAAGCACTGTCAACAGACTCAACTGAAGAGTGGATGTACCTAGCGTCTTTGAACTTCGAAGATCAAGGTTTAAATTAATACCAAACATAAAATCGGGGAAAACAATACTAATAATTTTGATGTATGAAACAAAAGCAAACAAAGTCAAAGGATACAAACGATAGAAAAGTCGAGATTATTGAAAGTGTTTATTAGGCCTACTCTGGGGCGGTAAATCGCCTTAAATCGCCCCAAATCGCATTAAATCGCGGGTTAAAATTGTCAAATTTCTCTTAAATCGCCTAAAATCGCTTAATATCGCCTAAAATCGCTTAAAATCATGGGCATACTGGGCGGGGAGTGGGGCGGAGGGGGCGACTGCCCCCCCAGTTGCTGGCTGGGCGGCGCCCGCCCCCTGGCTTTGTTGGGCAAACAAAGCCAGCCGGGCAATATTCGCTTCACAGTCGGGAAATATTGGTTTATTCGATAGAAATAAATGGGACAAATTCTGTCAATTTTGTGGGAAATATGCTATCTAATAGGATTGTTTTGTAATCACTCTCCCCCGTCGACAACAATTTTGGAAAGTTTCTCCGCAAAACTTTTTTTGGGCAAATTTCTTTCCGCCCCCCTAATTTTTTCCCTCCCATACGCCCATGCTTAAAATCGCATTAAGCCAACATGCATTCTGTTTGATACATTCAGTCGAAGTACTCAAGTTTATCAATTGCTGCTATTTTGCTGGTAAATCATGTGTAATCCAGGTGTTTTGCAATCAAAAGTAATGCAACATCGATAAATCAAATAAGTGGATTAGGCTGACAATATTTAGTCACTCAATAGACTTTACAATAATTTATAGGCAATTCTGGGATATCAAAGACCCATAGATTCCATTACACTACCAGCAACAAAATTGAGTTACTGGTTAATTTCATTATTGGTGTAAAATGTGGAGGCTGGGCTACAATTTATATGGACTATGGGGCTGGGATACAAATTGATCTATAATATACATGGCTTCTCAAAGCCAAATGCTGTTAGAACAACAGTAGGAGACTATGATAATGAGAGTCAATGAGTACGAGTATATAATAAGGTCATCCTGCAATTTGTGCACTGTTGCATGAAGATCGAGCACTGCATTGTATACAATGGTTGTACTTCGACATGTGCATGGTTATACTCTAGCTCCTAGTTATAATTATATTGGCTATCAAACGAACGTTTATAATTATATTGGCTATCAAACATACGTGAGGTTTAATATGAGCGAGATTTGCAAGTTTTGCAACTCTCATCTATTAAATTTTCCAGACCTGTATATAAAATAAACAGTAAAACAATGATTACATCGTACATACCATACAATCTTTGTTGTTGTTTGTTTGCAGAACACTTGACAAATTATCAGGTAAAAGACTTAAAACCACGATATAGTGCGCAGTGTGCCATTTGTTTAATTACTTTAATATAATTTTGTTTAGTAATTTTTAAAATAATTTAGAATTCCTACCCGATTTATATGCGATATACTTCATGAAAATTAAACTTTACGGCATTACGCCGACAGTTTCCGAATGCGTGACAAATATACTGTTTGAAACTGTTTCTTACGGAAGCAGTGAAGGGACTTCAGACTTCAGACTTCAGACTTCGGACTTCGGACTTCAGACTTCAGACTTCAGACTTCGGACTTCAGACTTCAGACTTCGGACTTCAGACTTCAGACTTCAGACTTCAGACTTCGGACTTCAGACTTCAGACTTCAGACTTCAGACTTCGGACTTCAGACTTCGGACTTCAGACTTCAGACTTCAGACTTCAAACATTGGTTCCGAGCTTCGCTAATAGCCAACATTTCTTCTGCGAAGCTGGCTAATATTTAAGGCAATTATTCAGTCAAAGCTATTCAAACTAAAGTTAAAAATGGTCAGAATGATTTAGATTGTAAATGCAGACTGTTGGAATGTGTCAGTGAGTTCTGACAGTTCTTTGCAGGTTTAAAGGCAGAACGATAAAACATATAATACTATTGTTGGTAGAAACACCACATAAATTTATTACGGCAGTAAATTTATTAACTTTATTCTGTAAATTTATCAAGTTAAGTATAACACGCGCTCAAAACTAATGCGTATAATATACCACTTGAGGTTTTGACTCAATTTTTATTTTTCGAAACGTTTCTCAATCGGCAACAAACTTAAAAAGTATGTTTAGTGCTTTATCTGTAAAATAATGCTAAATTGAAAAGTTTTTAGGCTACGCCAAAGAGAAAATTATGTATGAAGTTCAGTAAGTTTTGCTTATATTGCTCAGCTTAAATATGGCGTCAATTTTAAAGCATCATTGATAATTGTATTTTAATTGACAATTTTTAACTATGATTTTATGTTTCTCAACCGGCAGATGCATTTAAAAAGGTAGCTAACTGTATAAACTAAAGAATAAAGCAAAAACAAAGTGATTCTAAGAGGAGGAACGCAAAAGCAAAGTGGGCTGCTAGCGAAGCTCGGAACCAATGTCTGAAGTCTAAAGTCTAAAGTCTAAAGTCTAAAGTCTGAAGTCTGAAATCTGAAGTCTGAAGTCTGAAGTCCCTTCACGGCTTCCGTACTTTCTGGATATAGATATCAAACATAATTTTATAAAACATGTTTGTTGAAACAGTTTAAATAAAATGCAAGCTAAATAAAGAAGTGTTCACAAGATACAAAACAAGACAATTTCACTTACAAGGGTGACAAGGTAATTTATAGGATTATAGGTTATTGTAACTGTATAAATACATTGTGCGTTTCTACTCCCTGTGGGCTGTGGTTCTCTTGGAAATCAAATATCTATTATATTTTGCAATTAATAATATTAACGTTTAGCCTATAAGACATGTGTAGTTTAGTTATAGGTTGGCATTTTGCAATTATGTACCGTACATGCCCCTTAAGTAGAGTATATTTATTAACTGTTTACAATATTTGTGGTATATATTAATTAATGTAGCCATGAATGACCACATGACCCCACAGGATGAACTCCAATGGCTTCTAAATAGACAATGGATGAAGAGTTCATGAATATTGAGCTTTATATATGATTCGGGTTAAATACAATAATTATCAACCTAGCTTTATATGAAATGTACATACATGTTCTAATAATTGTATTTTGCTTCATACAATGCATATGTGTGTGGAAACATTACATTATTATTACATCAAGTATTAGGAATACTTATGTTAGTCTAGACTATTTATCTTTACAACAATGAGAATATGATATCACTTTTCTAACTGTGTTTATTCTAACCCACCCTGCAAATTTTGCCCTGTGGGAGGAAACAGGAGCAAAATATAAAATTCAATTACCTTGAAAACACCTAAATAGCTGTTATCGTAATTGAATACGCCACTGCGGCGAACCAGCGGTATCTCAGTGGAAGTACGGACGAAAACGAGGCTAAAGGGTCAAAAAACACAAAACATGACCCTATAGCCTCGTCTCGATGTTAAAATAATGCAGATACCGCTGGTCCGTAGCATAGACGTATTCAATTACGATAACAGCTATTGCAATCCTTAAAATTTAGAATTTTTTCTTAAATTGCCTTAAATCGCTTAAAATCGCATTAAATCGCAGTGCTTGAAAGTCCCAGTTTTTCCTTAAATCGCCTAAAATCGCCCAAAATCGCATTATATCACGGCGATTTGAGGCGATTTACCGCCCCAGAGTAGGCCTTTTATTTATATAAGGAGGAAGAGTCATTGTCAACCACAATGCACTGTGCGCCCAAACCTGCTTGGCGTCCATTTTCATGGCGGAATATCGCCGCTTGGAACTAAGGATGAACGGTCGCAGAGAAAAGATTGTCTATTCTCATGTCTATTCTCACGAATACAAAAACGAGCACTTAAAATAATCTATTAAGAATATGATTATAAAAAAGCGTTAAGTGTAGCAAAAATAGAAAGTTTGGAGAAACGGCGGAACCGAATGTGCATTGAATTAAAGGAAATGTCAAACTCTGACCATAAACTACATACTCTACTACCTAAGAAAGCTCACGAAATCAGAAAAAGAGACATGCACGAGAATGAACAATCAAATGTATTACAATTTTATGGGGAAAACTGCACGTTTTAATTAAAAGTAGTCCAATTAGCTATGCCATTATCAAATATAACGAAACGTTATCAGGGTAGTGGTGGATTTTAACTCGCATAAGCGTACACATTGTATTTTTATATATTAAATGTATTTTATTAGGTAATTATCGCATGAAATTCTTTTAATCGTTCTTGTGAAATAATACCTAACTTGTAATGCGCATATCAATTTAGCTGTTACCAGCTATCAGTTATAATTGTGCAATTTTCCTAATAATAATAATAATATTTAATAATAGTAATAATGATAAAGTTCAATGTTTTTACCGATCGAGAAAATTCAACGTTTGTGATGATCATTTGATGGTTTCAATTCGCTCATCCAATCAGCTTGGAGCTGGTTGAACGTCATTGGCTGATCAGATATATTAAAACATGTCAAGTGCCGTTGACAACCGTTGAAGATTCTCACGCGAATAGGCAATGTTTTTCTGAACGATCATTCATCCGTAGTTGCAAGCGACGGTAGTAGATTTTCGGTTTTCAATCCATGCATAATTTGTCACTTCCGAAGGTAAGACGTGACCAAATGCATTGTGGTTGACAACGACTCTTATGATCTCAATTTATATCAAATATGGATGGACAAGCAGGACGTGACAGCTCAGTGCTACGCATTCATGTCCAAAAAGCATGAGGGCTCGTACGTACGCCTCTTGGAAATCCTGAAAAACTCTGGATTTTTATTTTACTCTTGGAAACGCCTTGAAAAGTCCCGGAAATTAAAAATAGTGACCACTACAATCCCTGGAAAGCTATACTCTTATGTCGGGCTAATATATATGATATTTAAAGGATTAACTACATTTAATTTGTTTGAATACAATTTCAGGTTACAAAATTTTCTTGCGCATATGGCATATCGATCTTTTGCGATAGTGATATTACTTGCATGATTGCGATAATTATTGAAATATAGTGAAAAACGTGATAGTCGACTTAGCGAAATTATTTTTGTCGTATTTCAAATACAACTGGAAATCCGTCAAGGTCCTGGATTTTTCTTATACGAACCCTGAAAAATCTCAAAGTTTTTAAAGGTTAATAAAACAGCCAATGAAAGGAAGTTTTAAAACATATGTAGACTAAATAACTCAAAATGTTATTGCGCTTCCAAATATTTGAAAAACGTAAACCAAGATCAAAGTTATCGGTCAGCAAAAAATCCATTGAAAAATTCCGAATAATGAAGACGCAATTTACAAACAAAATTACCTTAGTGCCGTAGCAAGCTCTTTTTGATTGGGGGGGGGGGGCTGAAGAAGTAATCAATTGTCAGTATTTTGAATATATATTATTTAAATGATAAACGTCTGCATGAATTTGAAAAAGAATTATTATTAGCAAGTTATTGGGAGGGCTGCAGCACCCCCTCCCACTCCAGTTGACTACTGCCCTGAGAAGTAATAAATCGAAAAACATTTACCGATTTACGATTTGTTAAATGTTATCCATGCATGTAAATGCCATGATTTCGTAAATCAGTTTATACTGACAATGAATGCAATTATGTTATATTTTCTCTGTTTAACAACTAAAATTTTGTTATACTATTATTGCCGTAATTTTCAGAAAGGCCAACCTGATTTTCCGAATATATTAACTCTAAAAAGGTTGGGGAGGCTCACTACCCCCCACCCCAATACCCCCTCGCTACGGCCCTGGTAATTAATGTTGTTTTATGAATAAATAATGATGTACAATGCCTAAAACCCTAGTTTACAGGTTGTAACTGCTCTTTCTGTGCTGATCGCCAAGACAGAGAAAGTGCAAGATAAAGAAATTAGGACCGGAGAAAGGGGGGGGGGAGAAGGAGGGGGCTGCGTCAGGGTGTTGTTTTTACTCTTGTGTGTTTTATAAACGCCCACCCTCCCAGCATTCTGTTTCCCATCCTTGTGGCTTTCTGCTGCGGATCCATTTCCATGTTTCATTTGGAAACAATGGACCTTCCTTTACCCCAATGCTTAATCAGTGATCCGTGGCGGGATGGCCATTTGGATATTTCACTATGCTCACAGTAAGAGTTAGATACCGAAAACGGAGGCTCTTAGTCAGATACAAACCCGAGGGACCGTAGGCCCCGAGGGATTTATCTGACTAAGAGCCGACGTAATTGAGGTATCTAACTAACTTAGTTCATATTTGTAAGGATTGACCCACAATGAAATTTACTTTATGATATGTATTGTTCTTTAAATAGTTTGAATTACCATGGTTGTAATAAGAACAAACAGGGCTTTCGCATTTGATATGCATCAATTCTCGTGTCGCACTACTGTATACTATCAATGAGATGTTCACCAACAACAATTCCGATGAAATATGTTTGAAATAGCTCATACAACCGAGAAGCGCTAACGAAGATTTGTACGGGTTTGTCGAAGCAGAGATTCTCAAGTTGTTCTCAACAGGGTTTTATATATAGGATAAAAACCGAATGGGAGGTCTTTCATTGGGAGGTCTTTCTTGAATTTCAATGAAAGACCGACCATGCATGAGGTTTTTATGTTGTTTATATCCATTTTCTATTGTCCTCGGGAGGTTGTGGTTGTGGGACGAAATAAGGTTGAACATGCGCATTAAACACGCTTTAATGTAGTTGAGCATGCGTACTATATCATTTCGCGTCCCACAAGCGAAAGAGCAGATATTAGGGACCGGTCATTATTTATGGCAGGGGTGGG